ACAATGTAGTACAGCAAATGGGCAAAGTCGTAAATACATAAAAAAGGGCGACAATATTTTTTCGTTTTTCTGTTTTTTTTGGAAGGAGAGCTTAAGAGGAGGTAATTAGACCTGGATACTTATCAAGTTAAGCCTTGCCCTACCAGCAAAAGTACTCCTAGAGTGCGACTCCAGTGCACCTAGTGTGCGCGTAGAGTGCAACTCCAGTGTGCCAAGATTGCGAAAATGGCAAGCGTTTTTTCGCACTTTTACCGGAACTGAACGAGCGACCGTTTATAACGGCAATTTTTAAACCCTTAACTACCGTATCCCAGCGTTAGGAAATAAACTACTCCAGCCTTACATGACGTGCATAATACCCAATCCTCTCCCACTTAGCCCAAGTGTGCCCCATATCTCCCAGCTCCCTTCTAAACATTGAAGCTATAGAAGTTTCTAACGGAACCGTATAAGCCTTCCTATACTTCTATGCCCAGTAGCCCACACCCCAAGTAACACAACGAACGTCTTTGAATCGATCAAATCAATTCTAGATAGCAAAAAGTGCATTACAAAAGTAGTTTCTTTCTCATTAAAAAAGGAATTAAGTGTACAAAATCGTTGTATTCATCGAAGTTTTTGGATGAATCGTTGAATTATTCGTTTGGTATCCTGACGATTAAAGCCCAGGAAGTTGTGTCTGTGAACGGCATCTGAAAAAGAAATGTTTATATCAAAATTCATTAAAAAAATTGATATAGTAGCGAATGTAACTAATGGCAAACAAATAAATGAAGATATACCTCCAAAACGCCATGAAGCCTCATGATCTTTTTGAGTTGTACCTCATATAATAAAATAACGTTAAATGCTTACATGCTTAAAATAAAAAATATTTGTAGGTAGAATTAGAGTAGTTAAATGTGACGCGTATATATTATATGCAACAGTGATACCACAATAATGATTATATTGTTTTAAAAAAATTAGCAACTGTTCCACTTCTAAAACATAGCTTCCTCAGCTTAAGATACCATATCACCTATCTCTCAAGTTCTATTGGTGATTGCAGGCTTACCGATTATAACCTCGGTGATGCGTGGATTAGCGAAAACTAAATAACCATGAATGCCATTCCAGTTAAGATGGGATCCAAGTTTTGGAGTTTTAATCCTCCAACAAGCTCATAGAGCGAATATCCTTTCTGACAATACCATTTGTTGTGCGCAACACAGCATGACGTACATGCCCATCCTGTCCTCAAAACACTTCTGTGATAACACCCTTTGGCCACTGACCACGTGGCGTATTACCATCTAGCAATAGGACCAGATCTCCCACTTGAATATCACGCTCAACTGTTAACCATTTATGGGATAACTGCAGAGTCGGCAGGTATTCTCGGCGCCAACGTCTCCAGAACACGGATGCTAAATGTTGTGCTTGACGCCAGCCCTTAGTGTACCTTTCGTGCATAGATATTTCGCCGAGAATGCCGTTTTGGTTGGTATCCAACAGAAGCAAGTCAACAGGACGGAGAACTGATGGGTTGGCTGGATCGTCGTATACCGGAACCAATGGACGCTCATTAATGATTCTCTCAACCTCAAGGCTATATGTCGACAGAGACTCATCATTAAGTGTNCATAGCATGACGTACATGCCCATCCTGTCCTCGAAACACTTCTGTGATAACACCCTTTGGCCACTGACCACGTGGCGTATTACCATCTAGCAATAGGACCAGATCTCCCACTTGAATATCACGCTCAACTGTTAACCATTTATGGGATAACTGCAGAGTCGGCAGGTATTCTCGGCGCCAACGTCTCCAGAACACGGATGCTAAATGTTGTGCTTGACGCCAGCCCTTAGTGTACCTTTCGTGCATAGATATTTCGCCGAGAATGCCGTTTTGGTTGGTATCCAACAGAAGCAAGTCAACAGGACGGAGAACTGATGGGTTGGCTGGATCGTCGTATACCGGAACCAATGGACGCTCATTAATGATTCTCTCAACCTCAAGGCTATATGTCGACAGAGACTCATCATTAAGTGTTTGATCTACACCTACTGCCGTCATGATTCGCCGGAATGTACGAATCATCCTTTCCCACACACCACCGCGGTGGCTCGCTCCAGGTGGTTGGAAGATCCATTCAATATGACGCTTAGACAGCTCGTCCGCTATTTTGGTCTCATTCACCACATTTAGTATTTCCTTCAACTCAGTGTTGGCTCCTATGAAATTTGAACCGTTGTCACTGTAAACAACCTCTGGTCTACCGCGTCTAGCTACGAAACGTAAGAACGCCATTAGGAAAGAATCAGTCGTTAAACTATGCGCTATTTCGATGTGCACAGCTCTGATTTGCAAGCATGTAAAAAGGCACCCATAACGCTTCTGCAACGTTCTACCTACTCGCACGTAAAGGGGACCAAAGTAGTCAACCCCACAATATTGGAAGGGACGTCCGCCAACTGTGACTCTGTGCAATGGTAACGGTGCCATAATTTGTGAGCATGGTTTTGGATACAATTCTTTGCAGCGATAACATCGATTGAGTACACGCTTAACAACCGCCATGCCCTTAATTATCCAAAACTTCCTTCTAATCGTAGAGAGGACGTGCGACGAACCTACGTGACCATTCATTTCGTGGTAATGTTTCACCAACAAGTCAGTGACGGATGAGCGATCTGGCAAGATAAGGAGTCTTTCTTGATTGGTCTCAGACGTAGTATGCAAACGACCTTCTATGTAAAGTAAACCATTAATTAATACCGGTTTTAATCTTCTTAGGCGCATCGAAGTTATTGACGAACTAGATTGATTCTTTGGTAAGTTTACACATTCTCTTGGGAAAGCAAGGTGCTGAACTAGTTTGACTACGACGCCGATAGCTTGGTCAAGTTCGTCGACCCTCATTGAGCCTATCCTTAATGAAGTTGTTTGACGATCGAGCTTCATGACGATTATATAGTCAGTAAATCGTCTTAACCATGCGACTGTCCTAATCAACTTGAGCCAGGTTGAAGAACGAGACGACAGAACTTCAATAATTGGGATGGAATGGACACTTGCGTACGCAATCTGAGCTTGTTTCACTTCCGGGTCATCGAAAACTAATGGATACGGATCGCAATCACCGGGCCAATGTTCTTCACTCTGCGCCAAAAACTGTGGTCGATGAAGCCACATCATCATTTCCGATCTACTGGCCTTCCCGGCAGCGTCAGCACATTGTGGTGACGGCTTGGAGGACTGGTGCATAAGCACCCCTAGATCCTTCATTGTTTCTGTGTGCTGAATTGCCAGGGAGTTATCCGAGTTCAGGTAGCGCACTTCAGAAAACTCTCGGACACTAAGTGCCTGCACTTGCTGGCTTTTAGTGGTAGACCCCAGACTACGGACCATTTGAAGAGGGTGTCTAAGTCCTACTGGATGACATCCCCGGGTGGCCTACCTACTATTTTAGCATCATCAGCGAATAAGAAGCACGGCGACTGTAGCCTCTGAGCTAGATCGTTAATAAATATTCCAAACAGCAAAGGCCCAAGTACCGATCCCTGTGGTACCTCACTACAGGCCAAGGCGGAGGTAGATCGGGACTCTTCTACTTTCACGTAGAAGTTTCGCCCACTTAAGTATTCTCCTATCCAATCCACCACCACAGGAGCAACTCGCAGGTTCCTTAACTTGAGTAAAAGTAGCCGATGGTTGACCGAGTCAAATCACTTCTGGAAATCCAGATAGTAAACTTCAACAGGGTCACCACGGTCTAGTCTGGCAGTTATCTCCTCAATGATGGACAGCAAATTCATCAGGCAAGACTTGCCTTTGACGAACCCGTGCTGCTGCTGTGCTACCAGACGGTGTTGAGTAAGATGGCTTACAATGGCATTCCTTACACGCTTGTCCATAACCTTCAGTAAGATACACCGGAGACACTGGACGGTAATATGTAATGGATGGTAGATGTGAGTGTGTATTGAGTATGATTGAATGTGTTAGTGGCTGTAGTGGCAAACACATTTGGCGGTATAAAGGTGACACTCAATTACGGCAGATGGTAATCAAGAGGCTAAGGGACTCCTTGGAGATGGATTTCTGCGAAACATACTGAAGCTAACCGGCGTTGACGGCCTTCCGGTATGTCTTCTTACGAGTCTCAGTATGCGCGCGACCTCCTAGTGTCTCGTTTCCCGAAGTAGACAAAAACACTCGTGGGAGTCGTAGACGTTTATTGGCGAGTCGTGGTACTAGATAGTACCGAAACGTGCCAAGGTGACGCTAAACAAAGCAAGCAACAAATGTAGTAGCAGAGCGATAGCGTGTCACACGAGTAGCGTGGGTTTGAACAGGACCCAGCTTATATATACGCCTGAGCGTAAAACCGTGATCGGTAAAACAAAGAAAATGTCACAGTTCGAGTCAGAGTTGATTGTGAAGAAAATATGAACGGAAAACGTCCTCGTGAATTACTCCTTTTCTTCGTACAATCATAGTAACTACGATACGCCTCGGAGAAATACTGATACCTCCTGAAATTCTTCATTGTTAGTATCTTATCTATTGTCACTGTCTCATTAGGCTGACCATAGATGCAACTCACGCTGTTGTAGACTAGACCGACTCCAAACTGGGCCGTTTTCCAAATAATGAGCAAACATTTCTACTTTCCAGCATTGAAAATCGATGACCGAGAAGAATCGCATTCGCATCCAGCTACTGCAGATAAGTTCGGTCAAAGGAACGCTTGGCAGCTGAAGCACCAAACGAACACTGAGCTCGAGGTGCAAGAGACTAGACACATATTAGCTCGAGCCACAAGTCCAGTGACCTTACCTGACCTGACCTAACTTGACCTGACGTGACCCTAAACAATCCGGAAGCATATTCAAAAGTTGCCCGATCCGTAGGTACTGAGACCTGGCTGGTAGAGGTATGAGAAATGTGATACGCAATCACGGGTGTGGGCAAGCAACAGTCGGCTAAGGTGACTCCAGTTTGTCTCTTTCGTGTTACATGCTCATACCAGTCCCTTACAGATAAAAGTTCAAGTGCCCCCTACTAGATCGTGCTGAAGAAAATCTCGCTTAGTGAAGCGAGAATTTCAAAAGCTTTCGAAGCGCATCGAGAACACTGGAGCTCGATTGCGCAAGAAACTGGGCGCTCGTTTGGCATCAGTCTCCAGTCCTTTGACGTGACATGACCTGACCTGACGTCATCCAGAAGCCTGAAGAGAAGAACTAAGAACTCCTCCTCTGGTCGACGTACAGTGTGATCTCATGTGAGATCACGAGTAAAAGACAATGGAGGTTAGTGATAACAATCTCGAGTACTGTGGCTCGACCCAACTTGACCTTATATAATCCGGAAGCATGTTCAGAAGTTGCTCGTCGATTTCCTCATATCGGTAAATTGTTTCACAGTAGTTGACGTGAGAAAAGTATTTATTCGATGTCAAGAAATTGGCGTACGATCAGCCGGCATCGCAATGCCTACTGTGAAGACTGGGTCAAACTCTATTTGTTTTAACGTACACTCGCTACTCCAGCGCCACAGACAAATTATTGCGATCCGGCCGTCTTCCCCTGCTGGCGGCCCTAGCTTGTTCACCCGTTCAATTTTCTTGTCGTCGAAAACTCATAGAAAAATAATAATCCATTATATAATTGAAATAGCTTGATCCTTTCTCGGCATGACTTCGGAGGAAAAAGATGTTGTAAGGGTTGTTTACAATACAAGAACCTAATTTTTTATCCAGTGCCCTTTATGTGTCGAGCCAATGGAAGCTGATGATTTAGCTTTTTATCCTTGTGACTGCAGATATCAAGTATGTGACATTTATATCCGTTCGAGACTCAGGTTTGCCGGTTTTGCTGGGCCAAGATCATCAATGAGGGAAATGGACTTTGTCCTGGTTGCCGGAAGGTAAATGGAATTAACTCTAGGTGGAATTTTGTAGGAGTATAATTCTGAAAAGCCGGCTCTGTATGAACCTATCTCGGAGGCGGAGTACGTGTCGATATAAGTGATTATTTTCCTTAGGGATGCAAAATTGCGACATAACCGGAAAAGAAAAGACCACTTGAAGAAAACGAAGCTCAATTCGGAAATGCTCAAATTACTCCCAGAGCTGAGGTAAGATTCTTTAGGGTCATTATCGATACACAAACTCTGATAGAGTGGTGCAACCCAACCTCATTTTCGTCGTTGGATTACCAGCCTGGATCTGCAAAGATAAAGAAGCTCTCAAAGGGCCAGAGTATTTTGGGCGTTATGGAAAGGTGTTCAAGGTGGAGATAAACCAGAACCAAACGTTTGGAGGTCCTCAGGTGGGTTCTCGCTACCAATCGTTCCGGTAATGCCAATGTCAACATGGCACGCTTTTCCGATTTTCACTTGTTTAAGTTGAATTTTCCTCCTTGGACGCCATTGAAGTATACTTGGGTGTCAGGCCTTTCAGAATGGAGTTTTGAGATACGTTCTCCTAACTCATGGTTCGTTAAGAAGTTCTCAAACTGTTACTTTCTAATTCAGTTATGTAATTTTGGCAGTACTTGTAAGGAGACCGCTGGATTCTTATTACTAATTTCGATCCAAGTGTGGCGTATTCGATCTTTTCGAGGTTTCACAATATGTAAGTATCATTGTCATCATTGTCCCGCCAAATATAGCGAACTTCACTGATCGCTGCCAAACTCGCAATGCACATAAATTTAGTGGTACTATTTAAGGTGGGTTGGGATTAGACCTATTTTGAGGGAGGGGGAAGAAAGTGAAACTCTATGGTCACCGCAGAGTGCGCAATAATACCGTTTCGAGCATTCTGGCCTGATAATAAATGACAACCAGAACGCCACTGCTGTCGGTTCATTGCCATATCTTTCAATGTCTCCAATAAACCAGTTGCGGAGACTTTCGGACCCCAACCTGGAGGGCGCGTGTCATCTACTCTACCCAATGGCTCTGTGCATTTCTTCATGCCTCATGTGCATGATTCATTTAAATTTTGTACTTTCGGGGCTTTTTAGGCCTTACCTATCACAATCAATCATATGGATAATTTCGGATTTGGTAAGAAAAACGTGACAGTGCGCCCGTGATTTAATCCAATTTTGATAGGATGTAGGCAGTCAGTTCAGTTCACTGCTTCTTAAGATACTGTCCCTTCTATTGGGTTGTGGGGATTTTAACGCAACCTGCCGCTCCGAAATCATGGAATGTAGCGTGACATTACTTCATTCAATTATCAGGTTTGTCCTAATTGATTACTGCAATACGTTACAGATTTAAAGTTTAACACGTAGTTGCGTCAGCATCTTGAAAGGCCAAGCAGTAAATGCCATAGTATTTGAGACGAGTTATCGAAAACAATTTTCATGGGGAAATAACTTCAAAAATCGTGGTTATTTTCGTCACTTCATGGTTGCTTTCGTAATAGGGCTTTCACGTCACGTTTTGGGAATCTCGCTCTGTAGGTCTCAATAAGTTAAACCTTGTTCATGTATGGCATGGTTCGCATGCACCATGATGGACGAACAAATGCGCTTAAATTATAAAAGCCAGGCTGGCATGGAGCAACGTGCAAATTTACGAATATGCTACTCATCGCTAGAGCAATTGTTCTGGCGAGAACCTGTTAACGTCTTGTGTATCGCTTAACGATAATGCACGCTGATATATTTCTTGTTTTATTCTTCAATATTAGTATATTGATGGCAGTTTTTAATCACAAAACTCACAATATCTTCTAATTCAGCTTTTTGACCATGGTTTCCACTCGATAACCTCTCCCACTTTGCACTCTATCTATTTGGGACTCACATCTTCCCATTTTTCAATACGGTGATTAAATTAGCATAATGCTGATTCAGTTTTTTATTATTCATAATGCACATTCATTAGGACGTCTCTCTTTCTTCTGAAGGCGCATCTCTAGCTTTTACTCAACAGAGTGTGGTCTGCAAGACAGCATTGTATTGATGCATGGTTGCTGTTGGTTTCCGAGGTGCTCATTTATCATACAATAGGTTTTTTATTACAGTGCAGTAGTTTAGTCGCTGTCGCCGGTCTGAGGTTCGAGCTCCACCACCA